AAGGTAGTAAAGGTCCACAGAGAGGTCCCACACAGAAGTAGTGTTCGTACATAAACAGTGCTCACACAAGACAAAAAACGAGATCTGGTCCAGAGGGACACAAAGGAGGTCCCCAACCAAGAAATATCAGTCAGCACACTGGTTCAAGGAGAGCAGGCATATAGAGAATGCTCAGTTTCCACGTTCACCCTATTCCCACAGCAGCAGTCAAGATCCCCAGTCTGCAGGAGAGGTGCGGCCAGTGCCACCGGGAGCTGCACAGAGGTCCGGGGCAGGGGTTGGGGTCAAACGGTGCAGCAGCAGAGTCTCTGCGGCTACCTGGAGGGGAGGGTGCTAGCCATAGCTAGGCTGAGCAGGATGGGGTGCTAGCCTTCCTGCTGCGCTAGGCAGAACAAATGGGTTCAAGACAGTGGCAAGAGGGGCATCTGGCTTGGTCCCTGCAGCCTTGGCAATACTGCATGACATACAGAAAGGCCATGCTCTGTGGGCCTCACAGACATTTCAAGTGTTTAGGAAACGGGGTTGAGGAGCTCTGGTAGGTGGGGATTGTCTGAGGTGCCCCTGGAGGCTGCCTACGTCTCTGCCCTGATGTCTGAATGCTGGCATGCCGCTTACTGGTCTTGGTATCCATGACTTCCACACCGGAAGCACCAGTGCCACCTGCTCGCTGTAACTCAGCGCTCAGGCTGGGGCACAGCCTTGAGCTCATGGATCACACAATGCTACAATGCTCGTTTTTCCATACAGTATCTTGGGGCCTTTCCTGACATGGGTGTTTCATTGTAAGCGACACCTGGACACTGCAGAAGTGTGTGCAGTGAGCCACCAGGGAGCCACATGCCTGGGTCAGCCAAGGACCAACACTGGAAGGAGGGAAGGCAGAGGGGAGGAGGAGGGAAGGGAGAGGGGAGGAGGAGGGCTTGGGAAGAGGCTCTGCAGAGGTGAGCCTGCCAGGGGCCAGCAGGAGGGTCACACCCTCGCTCGGCAGATCCCAGGCAGCTGCCGGGGAAGGTGCAGGGAGGCAGGTGTGGGCACAGGAAGAGGTGAGGCTGGGCGCCCCAACCTTGCGCTGCCTGTGACGCAGGCAGGAGCAGGGACGTCTGCAGGCTCGGGAAGCTTTCCGCTCCCAGGAAACCCAGCAATTTTCTGCCCACTCCATTTCCAAAAAAGATATACTGATTTTAAATGTCACTGGGCAGCCGTCTGGGCTCTGTTCTGAGCGGCGCTTTAGGAGGACTGTAAGGTGGCACAGGCACCAGCCCAGCCTCCCCTGACTGTTAGAGGAAGGTGCCAGGCTGAGCCAGGAGGACTCTAGGGAGGATGGTCAGCTTTGAGGCCTGGCACCAGGGTCCGCGGCACAGCCTCACTGGTGGAGGGCGGAGCTCAGCTCCACGATGAGGCAATACTGCGGGATGGCGGGGGCCGAGCATCAGATCCCAGCGATGAATTCGCTTAATTACATGCGTGCTCGAGTGCTTAGAGGAAGTGTACAGATGTCTGCAATTTAGTTTCAAATGCATCAAAAGAAGAAAACGGACTGATGGATGGCAGAGGATGGGTAGGAATGTCATACAGCCACAAGTGTGCCATTCTCGGCAGGATGTAGGTGGTGGGTAAGTGGGCATTCGCTGTAAAATCCTTCCAGCGTCTCTATCTCAGAAACGCTTGCGGTAAACACAGGGAAAAGCGGTAGCCAGCTTCCATGGAGGCCTGCCCTGCTGCCCATCATGTGGGACCCAGGAGGCAGAAGTCTCAGGGTGGGTCAGCATGTTTCACAGGGGAACAAGCCCACCTGTCAGCAGGCAGAGAGATGACCTGCCCTGGTCAGGCTCCTCGGTGCCTCAGGGTGGGCAGAGCCCCTGGCAGGCCTGTCCTTAGTGACCCTACACAGTGTCCTAACGAGCTCTTCAGAAGCTCATTATGTGGAGGTATGTGGAGGCCTTTATGGGAGGCTGTGAGGAGTATAGGGCCTCTGTGATGAAGCAGCTGTCCCTGCTCTTAGGGGAAAGACAAGGCGCCTAAGGAGAGTGGCTGCCAATCCCTGATCCCAGGATCTTCCTCCATGCCAGCCTTAGTTTCCCCATCTCAAAGTGGGGCCTTCCTGCAGAATTTTCCCCTTTCCACACAGAACCTCACTATGGAGTCGGGCGCTAACAGGGCCGTCTGTGAGTCACAGCTCTACAGTCCACCCAGCCTGCTGCTGCGATCCCATCAGGCAAGTAGACCCTTTGCTCCTCCCTAGCTATGCTGACAATGCTTGCAGGTCACTCTGGGCGTGCACAAACTGCCAGTGACCCAGGAGACAGGGGAAGGATGGCATCAACTTGGCCAGTCTGCATGCAGCCACTGTGATGACCCGTCCACTGGGCCCCCAAGCACGCCCACACACCCAGCTCTAAGTGGTCACCGGAGTTTTGCTTCCTCGCCAACCAGCTGTGAACTAATTACAAAAAATTCTAACTAGTTGAGCGCCCTCTCCAAGCATATGTTCCCAATTAAGACGAACGGCAGCTGATTTTAATCAATCTTCCTTGAAGCGCCAACTTGAAGCCACTCTTCTTCTCTGGAGGGAAGGAGTGAGGCGGAGAGTGGGAGAGCGGGAGGCTGCCTGCATACTGAGCACAGTAAGGCCTGAGGAAGCCTATAGGCTGGCTAAGCACTGGAGGTGCCAGGCCCGAGCAGCCCCTCAGTGCTGCACGGAGGAGGCTGGGCTAAAAGGAGCTGGCATCAAGTGCGATGGCCAGGACACGAGGAGAAGCCCCAGGACACTTGTGCCCAGTGCCCGAGGGGCCCAGGTTCAAGACCCACATCTGATGGGAACGAGAGCGTTGCCCTTAATGAAAAGGGAGGAAAGCGCACTGGCTGAGCATCTAACAAGGGCCTGTTGGAGGCTGGGGCCGGGGTGGTGGGTTCCCTCAAGAATCCTCATCACGTAGGCTTCCAAAGAAAGTGCGGGGCTCGGAAGGGAACTCGGCACCCTCAAGCCCACCCAGAAAGTGCCCAGAGGCAATGGGCTTTCTCTTTCCACATGTCCAGGTCACCTTTAGACCCAGGAAACTCCTGGGCCACTCCTGAGCCAAACGAAGGCCTGTTTGCCTTTCCCCCAGGACAGCCCCATATGTCAGAGCACCTATGCCCATGTGCTCAGAAGGACCTGCTACCCTGCCATTTGTGCCACACACACAGGCTGCTCGGACAGACACTCCTGTGTGTACCAGGAAAGTAGCAGATGAGGCACTAGCTCTGGCACGGAAGCGGGGTGGTCTGTCCCTTACCACGGTGACTAATGCCACCCTGCAGGGCCAGTTCAGTCCTGGTGTAAAAACCTTCCCTGCCCAGATATGACAAAAACTGGCACAGAGAGAGCAGAGCCCGGCTGGGAGCCACAGCCAGGTGCAGTTAGCAGAGGCCAGTGACCTAGGAAGGAGACTTGATTGTCCAAGACACAGACAACTGCCAGGCTGGCCCACCCACAAGCTGGTCTGACAAGGGTGTGGGGCAACACAGAAGGGAATGTGGGTCCCAGCCAACCCCCGTGATCAAACAGTTTGAGTAAATGGCTTTTGTCTTTACTAATAAAATAGACGGCACCATCTTGCCTGGAAAGAATTTCAATATGAATGCCATAGAATGGGGACACAGAGCCAAACATTCTGGCCATCTCCTAATCTTCCTGAAACGTGCCCATCCATGGAGTCCAGCTGAGATTCATAATGGCAAGGGAAGAAGGCGGTTTGGGATACGAGAGTCAGGGAGTGGTGCTGTGGCCTCCAGCTCTGAGAGCTGAGCGAGGCTGCAGGACAAGCAACCCTGCCCAAGAGCAAGTGGGGAAAGCCCCATAGGAGGCAGGTCATGGGGCATGTAAGTGATCCGTTCTCCAGTCTGGCTCTGAAAAGCCCCCTCTCGGAGAAAGCCCAGCCTACAGAGGTGGCGAGGGCTATGGGCTTTCTAGAAATGTCTACAAGTGTGAGGGCCCAAGCCACAGCGGACTCCCCCCCAGACCTCCACGGCAAATGGGCACCCCACCCCTGGGTGCCTGGCCATTGTATCAAGACATGGCCATTGCGCGCCAGGGCCAAAGATTCAGCTCTCTGGGCTGCCTTTGGCCATGCTGTGGGTAAGGTTCATGTATACATTCAGTGCCTGCCTGCACACACCACTCCACAGCCCAGCACAGAGCAGGTGTGGACATGGTCCAGTAGCACACTGGCCTCCAGGAAGTGCCTGAACTCCAGGACTGAGCCATGCCAGGACACAGGTCCTGCAGGAAAGAGATCTTGTGAATGCCACTCTTGTGTCACCCCCAAGAGCACTGGCACTTCCTCGGGCTGCGAGTTGTCTCTTTGGTCCCTGCTGCAGCACCGAAAGCCATTTATCACCCCATCCTGACACAGTTCTGCAGCCAGGTAGCCTTGGTTCACCCTCCAGCAGCCCTTGGCCCAGGACAGTGGCCCAATTAGAACAGAACAGGATGACAGGTCCTGGGGCTGGGCATGAGTACAGCCAAGGTTCAGAACACCTCACTTCATCCAAGTTGTCACCTCTCCCATCACCAAGATTGGTAATGGGGACACGATCTGATTGCCTCTAATAGGTGCCAAGGTAAAAATCAATGGCCTGTCTAGAAGCCAGGCAATCTCTAACCTGTGGGCTTCCTGCCATGAGCAGTGTGAGCAGGAGGAAGAAAACGAAAAAGAAAAGAAACAGTCCAGGGCAGACAGCAGTGAAGGTCACGGCCACAGGGAGGTGGGAGCAATGAGGGACAGCACCAGAGAGAAGGGAAGCTGAGGCCAGTGCTGAGAACAGAAACACCAGGGGCCGGGGGGGGGCCCGGGACGGCGAGCGGGGGGGGGGGGGGGCAGAGGCCCATGGCCTGCAGGACCCTGCGGCAGCTCTCAGCCAGGTAAGGTTAGGCATGCAGGCAGGGTGGGGTTTCACTCACGGGAGCAGGAAGGAGTAAGGTCTGCAGAGGGCACATCTCTCCACCACCGCCAGCCTACCTGCAGGGTTAGTCTCTCCATCTGCATCTCCAGCGCCTGCTTCTCCTGTTCCAGGCGGCTCCGCTCGCCCTCAAGCTCCTCCACTTTCAGCCTGCAAGAAGAGGACGGTGTGACCAGATGCTGCCACAGCTCAGCAATGATGGAAGGTCATGGCCATGGCGTTGATACCAAGGGCAGGGTGGGTGGCAGTGGGCAGCACCTGTTCAGGCAGAAGGGCTCAAACAAGGGTCTCGGCTGACCCTGTAGCTTGACTAGAAGCAGGTAAGAAATCTGTGCTTCAGGCCCCCCTGCTCCACCCTGGACAGTGACCACAGGCTAGAGGGGAGACCGAGAAAAGGAAAAAGAACCTCAGGAGTCTTTAGAACAATAGTTCTCAACTTTCCTAACACTGCGGCCCATTAATACAGTTCCTCGTGTTGGGGAGACCCCAACCATAAAATAATTTTCTTTGCTACTTCATAACTGTAATTTTGCTAATGTTAAGAATCATAATACAAATATTTCTGAAGACAGAAGTATACCACAGGTTCAGAACCACTGCTTTAGAATGACAGAAAGGCAAGATTCCTTATGTGGTGAGGAGGGGCTGGGAATATGGCAGTTTTGGAGAAGCCGTCAACCTTGAGATCCAGAACTAGAACACATCAGCCATGACAGAGGAAGACAATGGAGCAGGTCCTCATATCTGTGTGCTCCAGGGGCTTGAAAGTACCGGCCAGCTCCAGGGCCCTGGAAGGAACCAACTGTCCAGGGAGCACCTCAGGACTGAAGCAGAAGCCAAAGCAAGGCAAGAGCAAAGCTCTGGCCACCTGCTAATTAACAACTCACACCAAATAATACCCTCTTCAAAGAAAGCTGAGGAAACCAGAAAACATGTTAACTGGACACAGTTTATCCAAGGATGCCAGGCTCCAGGAAAGAAGTGTAGTAGCCAGTGCTCTTACCAGAGGGAAAAATATCTCAAGTCAATACCCCAGGCTTCCACTTCAAGAATAGAGAAAGGCTGAGCATGATGGGTAGGCACCTGTGATCCAGCCCTCCCTAAATGGAGGGGAGCGGGTCAGGAGTTCAATGCCAGTTTTATGAGCTAGGGTCTGTGTGGCCCTGGCTGGCCTGCAATAGTACAGGAAACATTCCAGAACAGACCGACTGCATAGCCACAAAACATCTTAGTAAGCAGAAGATATTCTTTAATAGAATACCTGCCATAAAGGAAGTCAGAGGTCAGCGCAGAGGGACAGCTAGGAAAACATTAAGCAGAAGGAAGGCCAACAACGTGCTTTGCTAGGGAGATGGCTTTGGGGCGAGCGCCTGCTTTGAAGGACTGAAGCTTGATTCCCCAGCACCTGCACAAAAACCGAGCATGGTGCTGAGATGATGCACACTTGTGATCCCAGTGCTGGGGAGGCAGAGCCGAGGCCCAAGGTTCTCAATCCCTTTGGGGTTAAGACCATGACCACGGTATTTACATGGAGATTCATAACAGTAACAAAACATGACTTTATGGTTGAAGGGTCACCACAACGTGAGGACATGTATTAAAGGGTCGCAGCCTTAGGACGGTTGAGAACCACTGGATGGGAGGCCCCCCAGCCTAACCATACTGGTGAGCTCCAGGCCTGTGAGAGACACTGCCTCAAAGGGCAGGTGTTAGGCCCTAGGGACTGACTGACACCTGCAGTTGACCTGTCTCTCACACACGCACACACCAACGCACACATGCGCGCGCGCGCACACGCACACACACACACACACACACACACACACACACACACATCTATGAAACAAAAATGTAAGAAACTACAATCTCAAGCAATTCCTGAGTCAGGAAAGAACTCAGAAGGGAGATTAGGAAATGCCAGCGACAAGCAGTGAGGAGGAACGAAGGGTTCCAAACACAAGCAAGAGTCACACCAAAGACCCCGCAGTGAGCCCGAAGAGAGCGCCAGGAAAGGAAAACTGCTCGAGCCAGAAGCCGACAGCAGGCTGGAGACCATGAGAAGCAGGTATGTGAAAGAGGAAAATCCCAGCCCCAGCTGATGGCTTTGAAAGGATGCTGGTAACACGCCTTCATATGGTAAGCAAAAACCACCAGGGAGAGGAGCTCGCTATCAAAGTGGAAGATGCAGGAGGACATCACAGGATAAAGGTCGCAAAAGGATGCTAGGGACAAATGGGCACACATCCGAGCATCTGAGATGACATGGGCAGACTCCTACTGATGCCACCTTCCAAGGTGACCCCCAGAGAAGCAGATAAACCTGCTATCAACACAGGGGAGGCAAAACAGAAGTCAAAGGTCTCCCGACCAACAGAAGAGGGTCAGACCAGCGAAGCCAAACAAACACCCAAGGATTATACACTCTCCTCCAACTCTGCAGAAAAGGGGAGAAAGGGAAGCCTTTCCTTGTTGAAACCAGCAGCAGTCAGGCCAAATAAAGGCAAAGATACTTCAAGAAAACTATGGTCAAGCTGGGCCTGGTGGCACAGGCTTGCCAACCTCGCTATATGGAAACTGGGGCAGGATCAAGAGCTAAAGGCTTTGCTGGGCCACAGGTAAGTTCAAGGAACAGTCTGTGGGATCCCGTCCCAACATGTAGAAAGCACTTTCAGAAAGAGGGTGAGGAAGGTAGCTCAGAGGTCAGGGGCTCAGCTAACATGTGTGAGGTCGTGGGTACAAACTGCAAAACTGTAAAAGTTAAATTAAAATGAAATTTAAAATACATGGAATAAAACCAAAATTATTTTTTAAAAGAAACAAATAGAATCAAGACCAGTAAACCTGGGACAGATGTGGAAACGCCTCACCAAGTACACCTGGGGACAGATGTGAAAACACCTAAGCATGTGAACGTGGGGACAGACGTGGAAACGCCAACCACACGCAAGTGTTCCCTGAAAGCTTTCCATGCCGTGGAAAGAGGTTTAAGAACAGCAGGATGACAAGCATCTCAGCACATAAAAGTGTGCTGTGTGACGCTCCAATGAGCCGACGGCAAGAAGCTGCCCTCTGCTCTGCTCTGCCCTGCTCTGCTCTCAGCCGAGACGGGAAGTCCTCACCTGCCTTGCACTCTGTGAGGACAGCAGACTCAACAGGACGTGGCATTCCTGAAAACAAAACCACCACCAACAAAACAAACCCAAGGGAGTGTAGCCAAAAGATCTCCCCAGGACAGGGCCTACGAGGTGGCTCAGTGTTGCCACCAAGCCTGATGACCTGAGTTAAAGACACGATGGAAGGACAGAACACATTCCCGAAAGTTACGCTCTGACCATTTACACTAGGGCATTTGCATGTGATGTAACACGTGTGTGATCTCACACACACACACACACACACACACACACACACACACACACACAATCAATCAATAAATGTGATAAAGTAACTTTTTAAAATTGGGACAATGCCTGCTCTGACTGCTTACATCTGACTAAACTGCCAAAGCAATTAGACAAGACAATGAAATGAAAGCTTCTAAATTATAAAAGCAGCAAACTGCTCCTGTTCACAGATGCCCAGCTGATACACAAACTCAGCAAAGCAGCACCGTGAAAAATCAACATATGAGAACTCTGCCGCACACTCGCTCTGTTACAGCATCAGAGAGCACAAAACATTTGGGAATAAATTTACACAAGGCAGAGTGAGATGATCCCCTAAGATCTGCAAAGATAAAAAGGAGGGAGAGGGCGAGAGAAGAGAAGCCAGGGGCGTGTCTGCAGACACCCGGGGCTGCAGTCACAAATGTTACTGCCCCTACCGAGGAACCAACATCCGCACAGGCTGACTAACAACTGCCTGGAACTCCAGCTCCGGGGAGCCGGTGCCCAACGCCCTCTTCTGGATGCCACAGGTACCGCACTCACACGCACATGCCCATGGAAACATAATTACAAAATAAGTTATTTTTATAAACATGCAGGCGCCTGTGTGCAGGGACAGGTAAGGTTGATGCTGAGGCCGCAGGGCAAAGCAGACAGGAAAAGAAGCCTGCTGAGAAGATGTACCTTCTGCCCCAGACTCAGCCACGGGAGGTAAACGGTCCTTTAATGAGATGCTGCATGGAAGGTGCCAGTGCTGAGGAGCGATAGGCACAGAGTCCACCCAAGTGGTCACGCTGGCCCAGAGCAGACCACAGGCTAAAGTATGTGCAAAAGGAACTGATGAAACCACCTGTTAAATGGCCACATCCTCTACCTGTTCAGGCTACCCAAAGGAGCCTCCACAGCACACAGAGGTGAAGGGCGGCCGCAAGGCAAGAGGACCTGCCTGGGTTTGCTCCCCAGAACCCATGTAAAATGGAAACAGGCGGATCCCCAGGGCTCTCCGATAATCTAATCCAACCCACCTAATCTGCTTGGCGAGTTCCGGGCCTCAAAACACTAAGATAACTAGCTTCTAGGGAATGACAACTGCCAGCAGATAAACACGGCTGCCCGTGTGCCCACAGCCCCTTCCTTACACGTGAGGCACATGCAGGGGCACCCTCACGGAGGTGGCAGCAGGCCCTGGGTTCCATCTCCAGCAACACCTAATTAATAGAGCACTGTGGAAGGCCAGGGACACGTGGGAAGCTCACACTCGGCGTGAAGGAAGCTGACAGGAGAAATGGCTTCTCTTCTGGTGTTCCTTTACTTCTTCCTTTTCTGGTTTGTGGATTCACTTACAAAAACAACAAACATGAGCTGGGCATGGTGGTAAATGCCCTTAATCCCTGCACATAAAAGGCCCAGGGAAAAGAATAAGAGTTCAAGGCTAGCCTGAGCTATAGAGGAAAACTTTACCTTAGAAAACAAAACCCCACCTACAAACAATCCCAGGGACTGCTCAGACGGTGTGAGCACGGCACTTAGGAGCAATCTCAGAACACCACTGGAATTGAGAATAAAGGCAGCCTCACTTCTCTGAAGCCTGGCCACAGAAAATAAAAGAGACAGCATCAAAAACTCCTTTAGAAGTTGGAAGTAGATGTATGGGGGCAGGCAGTGACCCCACCGCTGGATCCCTGGCTCTGACTGACCCCACAGGGGCTCCCACGGCACAGAGCCCCTGGTAGGGGCTTGCAGAAGCAGGACGGGGAGAGGCTG